CCCACGGAGAACTTTGATGGAGCCTTCGAGGGCTCTGCTGTTGATGATGATGATGTTGATGATGATGTTGATGATGATGTTGTTAGGCCACACGGAGAACTTTGATGGAGCCTTCAAGGGCTCTGCTGTTGATGCTGATGATGATGATGTTGATGATGATGATACTGATGATGATGATGTTGTTAGGCCACACGGAGAACTTTGATGGAGCCTTCGAGGGCTCTGCTGTTGATGATGATGATGTTGATGATGTTGATGATGATGTTGATGATGTTGATGATGATGATGCTGCTGATGATGATGATGATGTTAGGCCACACGGAGAACTTTGATGGAGCCTTCGAGGGCTCTGCTGTTGATGCTGATGATGATGTTGATGATGTTGATGATGATGATGATGTTGTTAGGCCACACGGAGAACTTTGATGGAGCCTTCGAGGGCTCTGCTGTTGATGATGATGATGGTGATGTTGATGATGCTGATGATGATGCTGATGATGATGATGATGTTAGGCCACACGGAGAACTTTGATGGAGCCTTCGAGGGCTCTGCTGTTGATGCTGATGATGATGATGATGTTCATGATGATGCTGATGATGATGATGTTAGGCCACACGGAGAACTTTGATGGAGCCTTCGAGGGCTCTGCTGTTGATGCTGATGATGATGATGTTGATGATGATGATACTGATGATGATGATGATGATGATGTTGTTAGGCCACACGGAGAACTTTGATGGAGCCTTCGAGGGCTCTGCTGTTGATGCTGATGATGATGATGATACTGATGATGATGATGATGTTGTTAGGTCACACGGAGAACTTTGATGGAGCCTTCGAGGGTTCTGCTGTTGATGCTGATGATGATGATGTTGATGATGATGATACTGATGATGATGATGATGTTGTTAGGTCACACGGAGAACTTTGATGAAGCCTTCGAGGGCTCTGCTGTTGATGATGATGTTGGTGATGTTGATGATGCTGATGATGATGATGATGATGCTGATGATGATGATGATGTTAGGCCACACGGAGAACTTTGATGGAGCCTTCGAGGGCTCTGCTGTTGATGCTGATGATGTTGATGATGTTGATGATGATGATACTGATGATGATGATGATGTTAGGCCACACGTATAACTTTGATGGCGCCTTCGATGGCTCTGCTGTTGATGATGATGCTGATGATGTTGATGATGTTGATGATGATGTTGATGATGATGTTAGGCCACACGGAGAACTTTGATGGAGCCTTCGAGGGCTCTGCTGTTGATGATGATGCTGATGTTGATGATGTTGATGATGATGATGATGTTAGGCCACACGGAGAACTTTGATGGAGCCTTCGAGGGCTCTGCTGTTGATGCTGATGATGATGATGTTGATGATGATGATGTTAGGCCACATGGAGAACTTTGATGGAGCCTTCGAGGGCTCTGCTGTTGATGATAATGATGATAATGATGATGCTGATGATGATGATGCTGATGATGATGATGTTGATAATGATGTTGATGTTGATGATCATGTTGATGATGTTGATGATGTTGTTGATGATGATGTTGATGATGATGTTGATGATGTTGATGTTGATGATGATGATGTTGATGATGATGTTGATGATGATGATGATGTTGATGATGATGTTGATGATGTTGATGATGTTGTTGGGTGATGGGAGGTGATGGGAAGTGATGGTGGTGATGGTGGTGATGGTGGTGATGGTGATGTTGGTGATGATGGTGCTACTGATGATACTGCTACTGATGATGATGATGATGAAACTACTACTGATGATGATGTTGATGATGTCGTTGATGATGATGATGTTGATGATGTTGATGATGTTGATGATGATGTTGATGATGATGTTGATGATGATGTTGATGATGATGTTGATGATGTTTATGTTGATGCTGATGATGATGTTGATGACGATAATGAGGTAGATGATGACGTTGATGATGTTGATGTTGATGATGATGTTGATGATGATGATGTTGATGATGATGTTGATGATGTTGATGATGATGATGATGATGAAACTACTAATGATGATGATGATGTTCATGATGATGATGCTGATGATGATGATGATGTTGTTGATGATGATGTTGATGATGATGTTGATGATGATAATGATGATGCTGATGATGATGCTGATGATGATGATGATGATAATGATGTTGATGATGATGTTGATGATGTAGATGATAATGATGATGATGATGATGCTGATGATGATGATGTTAGGCCACACGGAGAACTTTGATGGAGCCTTCGAGGGCTCTGCTGTTGATGCTGATGATGTTGATGATGTTGATGATGATGATGATGTTGTAGATGATGATGATGATGTTAGGCCACACGGAGAACTTTGATGGAGCCTTCGAGGGCTCTGCTGTTGATGCTGATGATGTTTATGATGTTGATGATGATGATACTGATGATGATGATGATGATGTTAGGCCACACGGAGAACTTTGATGGAGCCTT